TTATAAAACAGATACAGGTTTCCCACCCCCAACCCCCCAGAATGTTTTTCGGATCCAGAAACTTTGGCATTTCTAAACCATGATTTTCAGTGAATTGGTGATTTTTTTTTTTTTCATATTAATAATTGCCTTTATTAAGGGACTGAGAGTCCCTTCCAAGATTTGCCTTCATATAGTTGGGAGCTGCTGGTTCTTATCTCTGTCTGTTTGCCAGGTCTACAATAGTCTGTTCCATCCTGGTGTCTCATTCTGTTTCCACTTCTGCTATCCCCTCGATTTTAAAAAAAAAAAAAAAAAAAAAAAAAAAAAGATATATTTTTTTTGTTGGTTAGAGAGTCTGGATTTAGCTTATTGTAAGCCTCTGCCTCTTGTATCATCAAATCATTGCTGTTGCTTTTAAAGCATATGAACTTACAACGTATGAAAAAGATACTACAGTGGAACGTTATAGTGAACTCCAATATAAGGATGCTTCAGTTGTAACCAGCCATCATTCAATACCCAAATTGTACCAGCTGGCATGTGAGAGGTGCTGACTGCAGCCTGTTCATAATAAATCTCCCACTTTTAAGACTCAACCCTTGCAAAGAACATCCCCACACCAGAGGACTTAGCTTTGTGAACAGCAGAGCTAGGAGATGGCCTCTGTACCCCAATACTGTATTTCAGGGTAAATGCACTTCCTGCCTGTTGATTAGAGGTCCTGGTCCTGTGAAACCCTTTAATTCCCATTGACCTCAGAAGAAATGGGAAGAGCTCGACACCTGGCACATTCTGGCCCTGTGGTCAGCTGGTATCTGGCTTGCCACTGCCCAGATTGTCCGCTATGCATTCCTGTATATCCATATGCTAGGCATACCCTACGCCTACAGCATACCCACTTCCATGTTCCCTTATGGACGGTATGTCCATAGGGCCTGATTCAAAGCCCACTGAAGTCAGTGGAAAGACTCCCACTGGTTTTGATAGGTCTTGGTTTGGGGCTCAAATGATTCACATCTGCACTGCCCCTGGAGAGAGCTCTCCTGTGAGGTTTTTTTACTCCTATGCCAGTGACTGTAGCTCCACTGATGTTTCCCAGTTTAGCCAGCTCAAGTTACAGTCCTTAGGGAAATAACTGGGAAAGGAAATAGAAGGACTTCACTATGAGGAGTTCCACTGTTGATTAAGAACCATTGTGTGTCTCCATTTCTATATCTTATTCTGAACCTGTTTAAATGTAAAAGTGCCTATCCTGAATGGAACGGGTTGGGGACGATTATTTGAGTGCTGCTTGGCTTGAACAAGAATTGCAGGATGGAGCCCCTTGTATTTAACATTTGGTTATGCTGTAGTTACCAAAATGCATAAGGCTATGACAGTGCCCCTACCTGTTCAGTGATCCCATGTAAAGGCTGATTCTCCTGAAGTCATGGGATGGGTCTTTTGGAGAGTAATAAATGATCCTTTAAGAACATTTTTCATTTTAACCTCACCCAAATGTCCCATTTTAACTTCACCGCCCTTTGACAAGGGGCAGGACAAGAAGTAAAGGAGTTAAATTGCAACATTCAGGCGGGATGTTAGGAAGAACTTTCTTACTAGGAGGGTGGTTAAGCACTGAAATAGAGTACCTAGAGAGGTTACAGACTCGCTTTCCTTGGCAGTGTTCCTTTACTGGTTAGACAAACATTTGTCTGGGATGGGTTAGACAGGGATGTTCCTGCCTTGAGCTCAAGCAGTTGGACAAGATGACCTCCTGAAGGACTTCCAGCCCCGTTTTTCTATGATTCTAAGATCCAGGTGGGATGAACTAAAAGCTTAGCTTGAATTGCTGTATGGTTGGTTGCCAGCACTGGGATTAAACCATGTAAAATTAATTGAGGGCAAAACTGACGAGTGAAATACAGGTGCCCAATCCTGCATTCTTTGCATACCTGAAACATCCATGAAAGGCACTGAGGTTCTGGACACACGAGAGAGGCGAATGCACAAAGACGCGTTCGGTCTTCGAGAGGCATTCAGTCCCCACTGAAGTCAATAGGAAGATCCCCATTGGCTACTGTGAGTTTTCATTCAGCCCTACCTGAATTTCTTACACACATTGTACCCCATCTGCCCTCCTGACTCATATGTCTTGTTCCTCTGCAGCTGAAGAGATAGCGGAAGTGGACATTGGCTCTGTTTATGCTGGCGTCCTCAGCTATGGGACTGGTTCTGTGCTCTTCATCCTGGCACTTGCCGTCGTGATTATTTGGAGGATGAAGATGCCAAACAAAAAAGCCATGAACACCCCCACTGTACAGAAAGTCTCCAAATTTCCTCTCAAGAGACAGGTAACAGAAAGTAGATACAAGATTCCTATTCCCTCTTATAACCTCCCCTGTCCTCCCTAATCTCCTTTCTAGAACAGAAACCTGATGCTGGAATTCACTGCTCCGTCAAAAACCTGATTAACATCAGTGAGCCCATAGCTTCAGAAGAGATTAGGCCCCATGTGTCATTTGATTTCATTTTGATTAATTTGCTCCTGTTTCAGTGAATGTGTAGCTTGTGGTAGTTAACTATTTCCAGTTTCTCTCTCCTAGACGAGCAGTTTCCCAAAGACCCATGCTTACATAGCACTAGTCATACAGTTTCTTAAGTCTGCTCTGCTTTACAATACCGAGCAGAAAACAGGTGATCCAACAGTCTACAGGGTCTGCATCCCTGGTCTACAAGGAGGGAAGGGCTGGGGTGAAAATTTGGCATATTGGTTGTGTCTATCCTGCTCCCAGTGAAACTAGTAGCAGAACCTCTGGGCAGAATTGGACCAGCTTTCTCCTATGGATGTACTGCACTTTGCACCATGTAATCATATCTAGTCTTAGCCACAGCACAGGTATATCGTTGGTTGGTATTGCAGCCTAATGAACATCTGCATTAAACAGGTCTGTGGGTCTTGCTGGTTCAGTGCATAGTCTCAACCACGCATTGACTTTTGAAGCACTGGGAAGGGAAATTTCTGACTCTAAGATCTGAGTCCACGTGCACAAGCACACACTGTATACAGGCCAGATCCTCAGATGATGTAAATTGGCATTGATAGTCAGCTTCAATGGAGTAACACTGATTTACACCAATGGACGACTTGGCTCTATGTAATTAAGTCTATGCCCTACTACAGTCAGAACACATTACTTTGAATTCCCAGGTTGCAATTCATTGGGAAAACTTTAGTAACTGAAGATCGGACGGATTCTTTTTTGGCTGCTTCCTTTGAAGGAATCCATCCATTTATACAATCTAGAGACAGTCGGCAATAACACCTCATTTGCTCTATTCAAGCAGGTGTCACTGGAGTCAAATTCTTCCATGAATTCGAATACCCCGCTGGTCAGAATCACACGACTGTCATCCAGCGATGGGCCAATGCTGGCTAACGTCTCAGAGCTCGAACTTCCTGCTGACCCCAAGTGGGAACTAATGAGATCTCGGTCAGTCAAACCCACACACTGAATAAATATTTGGTTGCTCTTCTGTCTTCATTCTGCACATCAGCTTGGTTTCTTATTGATGCTTTTGTTTGTATCTGTCATTGCAGCCTGACTCTGGGCAAGCCTCTGGGTGAAGGTTGTTTTGGTCAAGTGGTAATGGCAGAAGCAATTGGGATCGATAAGGACAAACCAAACAAGTCCATCACTGTAGCTGTCAAGATGTTGAAAGGTATGGGAAAGTTTCTGGGAAGGGAGTGGCAGAAGCAGGGGAGAGTTTTACAGAGGTATTTGCCTTTGTTTCCTTTGTGGTTTGTACCACTTGAAAATTATAAATACCAAAGAAGGGCAACCCTTAAGTGGGATATTCCGGTGGGTCAAGCACTGGACTGATGTATCAGAAGGTAGGGTTCATTTCCTAGCTCAGCCACAAACTTCCTGTGGGACTTTGAGTAAGGCAGTGGATCTGCATTCAACTCAGCACACTCTCTAAACTGGAGATCGTACTTCCCTGCTTCACGGGCATGTTATGAGTGTAAAATACTAGCTGGGAGGCTTTCTGATACTGTGAAGAGCTAGCTAGACTTAGAGCGCGGGTATATCCTTGTTGAGGTTCTCTTGAGAGCAGGGCTGTGCAAACAATTTCTCTTTTGGTTTGAAGTGATTGAATCAAAACAAAAAAAAAATCTGTTCAGTTGAAATGCGCCGAAACACTGTTGTTCTTGTTGTTGCCAAGACAAGAAGGGGAAAACATTCATTTTGGGCCAAACTAAACATTTGGATTCCATTTCATAGAATTGTAGAAAATTAGGGCTGGAAAGGACCTCAGAAGTCATCTAATCCTACCCCTGCTCAAAGCAGGACCATCCCCAACTAGATCATCCCAGCCAAAGCTTTGTGTAGCCAGGTCTTAAAAACCTCCAAGGAAGGAGCTTCCACCGCCTCTCTGGGTAACCTGTTCCAGTGTTTTACTACCCTCCTAGACTAGGGACAGAAGTTGCACACAAACCGGTTAAACTGATTGGAAACTGGTTTAAACCTGTAACAGAACAGAAGTTCAGTGTACATAAACTGCTTTCAAAATGGCCAAAACCGGTTTAAGATAAACCTGGTTGGATGCAGTATCAGACTTGATTGATTTAGGTCAAACTTGTTTCTGGAACTTCTGTCCCAGATTCCTTCCTGGTTCAAGTTAACTCTCAGTCCCCCAGCATCCCAAGATGCTTTGCAGCCCTGAGCTATGCTGTCTGCTCCAGCAGAGCAGGGACTGCCTTGCCTCTCTGCTCCTTAGCCTGCTTCCTGCCTGCGTCTGTCAGCCCATAAGGATGAGGGAGGCAGGGGAACAGACCCCCCTAGCCAGGGTCTACACAGCACGTGGGGGGAGGGAAAGCTCCTGTGGTGGGGGCTTTTCAGCCCTCAGCAACCCTCCCCCCTTCCCAAGGAAGGAAGGGGAGTCCTCCCAGCCGTGTGCCTGCCCATTAGCCCAGCATGGGGAGCTTCCCTCCACCCCATCCCAGGGGAACCCTAGGCTGGGGTGGGGGGAAGCTCCCCAAAACGGGAGCTCCCCGGTTCCACCATGCTGGGCTAATGGGCAGGCACCTGGCTGGAAGGACTCTTTCTCCCTTTCTCCTCTGGCAGCAGCTGAAGCAATCGTCAGCTGGGAAAGGGGGGTGGGAGAGATTCCCCTCGGCTCCCCAGGGCTGCCAGGCTGGGGAAAACCTTGTGAGGGAGAGGCCCCCCAAAGCGGGCTAGCACCCGGACAGGGGCTCCTTAACCCCCTGTGGGGGACAGCAGGGGGCTGGGGGCATGTGCTGGAAAGCCAGTGGAGAACGCTTGGCTGGACTGGTAATGGCCAGCAGGCTGGGAGACCAGCTCTAGCACCTTCTGCCTACTGGCCTGGGTCATTGCAGGCATCCCCCTGCCTTTCCCAATTGAAAATTGAACATCAGTTCAGTTGGTTATCGGTTCAACGTATGCAGCTTAGAGAAGGCAGCCTAGATTGAATTGATTCAGCCGTGGGCTTTTTGACTGTCTGTACTTAGCCCTAGTGAGAGAGTTTTCCTAATATCCAACCTAAACTTCTCCTGCTGCAACTTGAGACCATTGCTCCTTGTTCTGTCACCTGCCATCACTATAGAGGACATGCAAGAACAGTCGAGCTCCGTCCTCTTCAGGTAGCTGAAGGCTGCTATTAAATCCCTCCTCAGTCTTCTTTTCTCCAGACTAAATAAGCGCAGTTCCCTGAGCCTCCCCTCAGAAGTCAATTCCCCAGCTCCCTCACCATTTTTGTTACCCTCCACTGGACTCTCTCCACATCCTTTCTGTAGTGGGGGGCCCAAAACTGAACATAATGCTGCAGATGTGGCCTCCCCAGTGCTGAATAGAGGCAAAATATTCACTTCCCTTGATCTGCTGGGAAGGCTTCTACTAATGCAGCCCCATATGCCATTAGCCTTCTTCACAACAAAGGCACACTCTGTGTTGGCTCATTTTGGGTATCTTTGATGCAAGTAAAATCAGGCACAATTCATAAAAAAAAAAAAAATCATAGTTGGTGTGGTGGTTCTCCTTGTATTTGATATCCTGATAGGTTAGGGCATTCAGCCAGTATCCAGAAGTCCCTTCTTAGCTCAAAAGATTTTATTATTTTACCCATGTTGTCCACCTTTCCAGTATCTTAATCACCAGGTTAGATAGGGGGTGCTCTGGGATGGGGGGCCCTCAGTCACTCCTTGATGCTGTTCTCCCTTGTATAAAAATGCCTAAGTATTCACTTGAGCAAAGACTGGTACCCTGCTGTTAAACCTCTCAGGTGAGTGCCCTAATCAGAAAGAGCAAAATATTCTCTTTCTCAATTAATATTTAAGTATTCAGTACAAAACGGGACAGCCCCAGTCTCAGGCTGCTTGATGTCTTTGTGGTCGGGGTATTCTTCTGGGATTGGAGAGAGATGGGTTTGAATCCCTTCAGGCAGAAGTTATGGTTGACCCCAGTGCTCTTGCATTTTGGGTAAGGGAACTCATCACTGGCCTATTGTGAATTTAGCTGCCCACTACCATCATCCCCTACAGCAACTGTACATTATGGAATTTATCCTGGGGGGCAGAATAGAAACCAGACAGACTGAAGCTCTACCATGAGCATCTCTGGATTAATAATAGTGCTCACGGGGGGAAAAAGGCTTTAAAATTGCAATTGGGAAGTGGGGTTTTGATAAAAAATCCCATTGGTCAATGTAGGTGTCAGTTTTATTAATGAAAAGTTACCAGTGATGATAACATAAAAACATTATTTGATGGGGGGTTTTTTGTTTCATCTTGAGATTTTTTTTTTTTTTTTTTTTTTTTAGAATCTGGTAGATGTGGGTTTTCTAGTCACTTTGGGGGCTTTTTCTCCACATTCTCATATTTTGTAACTGTTTTCCGCCTTTTTCTACTTACACAGCAGCGAAAGGTATAAGAACTGGTTTTACCCAGCTTTTTTACAAACTTTAAACTTTACCCAATCCATTTCCATTGGGAAAAGATTTAAATGAAGATTCATTTGATCAAAAGATTCAAATGAAAGCATTCAAATGGGAAGGAAAAAAGGGCCAGGGGGGCTGGGGACATGTATCCTGGACCTGAAATGGGAAACTAAAAGTTCTCCATTTCCAAACATCAAAATGAAAAATGACATGTTGCAGTCTCATCCATTCCCATATCAACCTTTCTAGAGTTTGTTTAGGTAAAAGTTTCAGTGTTTTGACTCGTCCTGATTTTGGCTAAAAACAAATCAGTAAATTTGCTTGCGGCAAAATTCAGTATCAGTTCTTAAATACCTGCCAACTGCCATATATTACTACTGTACTTTGAATACAAGTACCATGAAAAGCAAAATCATAATATCTGTTCCATTCCTGACAGTTTCTTGCTCTCTTGTGTTCTCCAGATGATGCCACAGACAAGGACCTCTCTGATCTGGTCTCCGAAATGGAAATGATGAAAATGATTGGGAAACACAAAAACATCATTAACCTCTTAGGTGCCTGCACGCAGGATGGTAGGTCTCCCCCATACTTCCGCAGCAGCGGGGAGTGTTGGTAGTATGCAGTCTCTCTCTGCTGTGGAGTGAGCGCTGTGTGAGCTCAGCCATGTGTAAACCCAGCTACTTTTAACAGAAACATGCTACATTTTCCTGAACCAGCAGACATAAGGATATTTTTCCCCTACAATAAAAAAAATATTAAATTAAAGCCTCTATATTCAGGTTATGCAGAGGGAGGAAGATTAATCCTAGCCTCATGCCCTGGAATTATTCCCAAGACACTCTTGACTACTGTCATAGGTATATGCTGTGCTAAGTGAAAAGGCTGTTACATACAGAACCAAATATCTGGCTCCCCTCCTGTTATCAATGTTACTTTTTACTGATTTTTTTCATTCCTTTTTGTTATTGTCTTGCTCTCCTCTCTCTGGAGAGGATATGTTGGGACTGGAGGGAGCAAGGTTTGACTGTCACTAATTATTATTTACTCGCTGAATGCCTCAAATTTGGCTAGACAAAGCATTTATCTAGTGGTTAAAGTACTGGATTAGAATTTGAACTCTGGAATTGAGAAAGTCATATAATGCCCCTTCCATGTCTCTGCTTTCCTACCCATCCCATGGAAATAATACTGCTTAGTCACAGGGTAACACTAAGGGTTACCCTGTGACTAACCCTAACATCTCAGCAGTGTCCCTTTGACAGCAGGGTGTGGTGGGGTTTGTGTAACATTTTATCAGAGGCAGTGCAGTCCACTGGCTGCAAAACCTGCATGGAGACTCCCAGACCCGAGCACTTCTCATGTCTAGTTTTCTTAGGAATTTGTCTGGCTCTGGATACTGTAGTATTTCAGTGTTAACGCATTTATCCTCACAACATCCCTGTGAGATAGGAAGTACAGTTAACATCTTCTAAAGGATAAGGAACCGAAGCACAGAGAGGTTAAGTGGCTTGACCGAGGTTCACATATGAAGTCTGATGGAACACAGACTCAAATGTGGGTTTTAGTCACTGGACCATCCTTTCCCTCTGACCTTACATTAGCCATGGACTTGCCTTGTGACTGCCCATAGTCACCTCACCTCTCTGCCTCATGCCTTCCATCTGTGACATGGGACTACCAACAACATTCCTCCTTCTTTGGTTTTTCATCTGCAGGCCCACTCTACGTTTTGGTAGAATACGCATCAAAAGGGAATCTGCGGGAATATCTCAGGGCTCGTCGGCCACCCGGCATGGATTATTCCTTTGACACCTGCAAACTGCCAGAGGAACAGTTAACATTTAAAGATCTGGTTTCATGTGCCTATCAGGTGGCCCGCGGCATGGAGTACTTGGCTTCTCAGAAAGTGAGTTGAAAGCAGAAAGTCTGTGTTCGTTTTATTGCATGCATCCAAGTAGATGGAAGCACTTGCAATGTACAGAGCAATTTATGGGTATAAAACATCAGTTCTCTTTTCTTAAGAGCCTGTAAGGATGTAATTTTATTTTTTAATACAAGAAGCATAGGTATAGGCTGAAAAAGTCCGCTTAAGGACCTGGAAGCCCGCTTGTTTATTGCTGAGGCCATATATGAACTTCTTAGCAGGGCTTCCCTTGGCTGTCGTCAGCAGTCCAACAGTAACTTTTGTGAACAACATGGGGATACCAGGGTAATGTAGCATGTGTATGAAAAGTGAGACCTATATGCATGTTTTCAGCAAGTAAACACGTGTGTTGCACAATGGAAACATCTAAATGCAGAGGAAATCAAGCTTCCGCTGTCTGAGCCTCAGTCAATTCCAGACTCTATCCCAGGGCAGCAGCAGTCGGGTTTAGAGCCACAGCAAGTTATATGCTGCATCTCAGCAGTGTCCCTTTGACAGCAAAATGGAAGGTGACTTTGAGGGAGAATCTCATCCAAGACTGGCCTGGACGCCCCTGTGGTCCTGTTTTCAGTGTCAATATAAATACGGGGCATTGAGGAGGAAGCAGAGATCCTGCCTGGGACAGGCATTCATTTCTGGAAAGAGCAACGACTCTTGTTAGGGTAGCAGTGGATCATAGGTCCTGCTAGTTACACCAGTGGTGGGTTTGATCCATTAAAACTATACCGACCACAGAAATGCTCCTGGGAGTCTCTAAAAGTGCCTTACAGACATTGATTGTGGTGCTGCTCTCATGTACACCCCTGTTTCCAATAGCTTCACATGAGCTATTGCTGATTTGTGCTGATGTGAGTAAATGGAGAATCTAGCCCGTTGGTTAATTTAAACCTTGTAGTACATGACATAATCCTATTTTAGATCTGTGGAAAGCAAAGGCCTAGAAAGATTTAGGGTTACACAAGTCATTGGTGGATCTGGAGCCAAATCTAAGGGTGTGGCTGCACTGCAGTCAAAGTTAGCTTTAAGTCGGCTCACCCAGGTACTGGAGCAGTCTCACCATGGCAGCACAGGGCTCAGAGCAAGCCAATTTACTTTGCTTCTTGGGGCATGAATTCATTGAAGAAATATTCTCAGTGTCTTCATTTCATTTGGTTTACTGTAAAAGTAGGCTCGGACCCTACGGCCCGTGGAGCCATTGGTTCCAGCCTGCACAGGTCGGGCTTTGATGGTGCGTAGGAGTTGGGGGCTTCATCTGTGCTGCACCACACTGCCTGGTGGCTGGGCAGTGGGGAGCTTTCCTGCATCGCACTGCAGCTGGGATGTGGGGGCAAGCAGAGGTAAGGAGAAGCAGTGGTGGCAGCAGGCACTAGCCCATCTTGAACCCATACTGGGCCATTCTAGCCACCACCAGGAAATGTTGCCAACCCCTTGTGTAAACCACTAGCCCGTACTCTTGCCCCTGTATAAAGAATAGTGGGGATAGCAGATAGGAGAGTCTGTGCAGTAGATGCTGCTAGAGTGTGGCTCGTCTGAGACAGCGTGTGGCAGTGATGAGACAGAGCAGGGAATTAAACGGCACCCACATCTTTATAGGCTGGCCTCTGAATAAATGAAACAGCATCTCATAAACCACAGCTCGCTGTTGATTCCAGCTATAAGCAGCTCAATAAGCCCATATTTATTTATTTATTTATTCGCCTTTCACAGTGCATTCATCGAGACTTGGCAGCCAGGAACGTGTTAGTCACTGAAGACAATGTGATGAAAATCGCTGACTTCGGCCTAGCCAGAGATGTTCACAACATCGACTATTACAAGAAAACAACCAATGTGAGTACAGAGCTGCTGAGCACAGGGGAATTCCTGGTGGCTGAGGAGTTACTCATCCTTCAACACACAGCCCGTTCTGCACCTCCGTTTTAAGGACATTCTTGCATTGAGAAATCTGCTTATGCCCAGTTAGTAGCAGACAGGCGGGTAGCAGTGAGGCACAGGACAGGCACATAAGTCCATACGTGACAGGTCTTCAGTGAAGTTTTGTTACTAGCATCACCAGTTGTTTTAGAGGACCCAAGTCATAAAATGGGGATCTGTTTATAACGAGCTTCAGTAAAGTGAAACTCGATTGATACCAAAGAACACCCCAGCCCCCCTGCCCCCAAGCTGTTTCAATGCACTGTAGCTGCAGTTATAATGGCTCTGCAGTTACAGAGCCAACTCCTTGTCAGCCCCAAACCTCTCCAGTGCTTCTCATTTCAATGGGCACCTCCCCTTGGAGTCTCCTGCATTTCACACCTGTCCCTCACTTCCATGGCGGAAAATTATTTGCATTGGATACAAAGAATTGGGAGACCCAGGCTCCACAATAATGGAATGCATCCGGTAGCGGTTCGATGGCCTGCAGGAATGAATTCTGTCCGTCTCTTTCTCGTTTCGGGTTTTTGTCACATGTTGCAACCCACATTTGTGTCCCTGGTGGGTAGCAAGGGGTGGGCCCATTGAAGTCAATGACAAAAACACCGCCTTGGATTTCCCTGGGACTGGGATTTGAATCTTGGTGAAGTTGTGCTGGGAATCTGCTTTTGAAGGTTTCCCTGACAGTTTGGCCTCAGCAGCATTTTAACTGGGAGAGCAATGTGGGCTTTCGTTCTCGAAAGCCCGCAGCCTAGCTGCCTTTATACGCGATGGATGTTGTTTTCAGGCTGAGACGTGGATGCTTTGATGCGCTAAACCTGTTTTGGCAATGAAATGCAGCACGCTATAGAGAGGGTGTTTACAGCAGAGATTGTCCATGAAGATCAGGGGATCAGATGTTATAATCTGTTTACATGTGGCTACTTTTGCCTTGCACAGTGACCAGGGAAGCAGATGTGGTTGCTAATGAAAATGTTTCAAACTGGATTAGAATAGAAGATTCAGATGGTGCCGTTGTGGCTGAGCGAATATGCTGATGGGACATTCCCTTTGTCTTCCTAATTACAGGGTCGGCTGCCTGTGAAATGGATGGCTCCAGAAGCATTGTTTGACCGGGTCTACACTCACCAGAGCGATGTGTAAGCATTACCCACATTAAAAACATTTAACATAAAGCAAAACAAATACCAAAGGATCATAAAGACAAATGCATTGCAAAACGCAAATGGGACTCGGGGCCTGCGCAGTGCGGGTGGAAACTGGTACGAACAAACAAACAAAATCCTCTTCTCTGTATGCTGCATTTGACTCTAAAATACAGCTCTACCCAGGTGACTTTACTATGGCCTCATAGGGTGCATCAACACGTCACCCTACAGCAATGTGGCAACTTAGCAGTCACATGTCTACATGTGTTTGCCAGCTACGTCGCCATAGCAGCAAAATTTAACGGTGCACCACGCACATGGCACAGTAACCGCTCATACCGCACCATGCTTTAGTACTTCCAGAAGGAAAGTACTAAAGCATGGCACTGTAGCAGCATCGCCATACTGCAACTGGTAAACGCACACAGATAGTATTTTCATCCTAGGATTTACAGTAAGCTTCTGAATATCCTGATAAGGAGATAGGCAGGTGTTTCCGATCCATTGTATAGATGAGCAGACTGAATCATAGAGAGGCTTCAATCTGTGTTTATACAAAATTATTATAAACTTCCCTGAATTTTAATCCAATTAGTTAGACTTCAGACAGACTACAGCTAGCCAGACAATATGCATCAAATGGACTATCTGATTTATTTTGCCATGTGGGGGATTGATTAGTTTATTTGACAATGTTTTTCTTTTTACCCTGCCTAGTCAGCTTTCATGACTCCACACTATAAGCAAAAGACACAGCCCAGAATAGAAATGAAGTCCATTAGACACTCAGTCTAATGATTAACCACACCATCCCAGTTTCTAACTAGAGCAAAGAGCGGAGAAAGCTAAGATGTTGTTTCATATCACAGCTGAACTTGGGACTCTCCATTTTTATTTTATGGAAGCTGAAATAGCCCAACTAAGCCCAATAGCCCAACTAAGCATGCTGGCTTTGTACTTTTTAATAGTGGGATCCATGCGCAAACAGAAAAACCTGTGGGATCTCCACATGCTAATACAATTTCTCCATTTAACACTAGACAAATTGGTATTTTCCCTTTCTCTGAATTTCAGCATGTAGCCTCATTGATCTAAAATCATAGTTTCCATGCTTAGGTAATGCTGCAGTGGGCGTGATAGATAAATCTAAGCTTGGGGAGACAGACAGATAATCCTTGTTCTAAAAAAGAAATGCAGAAGGCAAAAGATATTTTGAAAAGAGGACTTTCAAATGTAGCACAGCTGCAGTGCTAGGGCATGTAACCTTAGTTCTCTGCTGACTTTTGTAGGGATATTTTTCTCCCAGCCGGGCCAGTGAAATAAGGGTTGTAACAAGCAAGTTTTGGTATCAGCTTGCACAATTAGTGGCCTGTGGTTTGAAGCCTGCAATTCAGTGAAGCTGTGCATGAATAATTTGATTTGTTCCATTCAGTGGAGCTGGTGGAAGACCTAACAAAGAGCTGGGGGTAATAGATGGGCTGTCACCTATCTGATTAAATGCTCATTTCAATTTCAGACTTGGTGCCCGGGATTTCTTTACTATTGAGTTGGATCAGCAGAGATCTCCAAGTAACTAGTAAAAATGGCCTAGGCAATTAGTCATGCTATTGATGACTTTGTTAGCTATGCATGGCTGCATAGGAATAAAGCAAAATGGGCAAAAAAAAAAAAAAAGCTCATTGAATTTTAAAGATCCTTCTTTGGTTTCCAGCTGGTCTTTTGGAGTGCTGCTCTGGGAGATCTTTACTTTGGGTGGGTCTCCCTACCCGGGAATTCCAGTCGAGGAACTCTTCAAACTCTTAAAAGAAGGCCATCGCATGGACAAGCCAGCCAACTGCACTCATGACCTGTAAGTGATAGCATGGAGGCCTAATGGCCTCATTTTTAGAGACTCAGCTTGATGTGGGAGTTTATTTTCCTTCCTAATTCAATTTCTCCAGTCCACTTCCTTGTGTGTCTAAATACCCCTGGCCATTGCTTTGTCTGACCCCCACTTACTACTATTTAGCCAGCCCTGCTGTGTGTCCCTGCTGTGCCATTGTCCAGTTGGCTCCAGATAGACTTATCCAGCCTGATGCGTTTAGACTCAATATGTGACTGACAGACAAAATATGCAGCTACACATGCTATGCTTGGTTGATTCATGTCAATTTAGCATTCAGCTCTGATCTGTGAATTTGCCTGGTGAATTACCTTGTGAATATGACTTTTCCTGCCTTTTTATTTATTTGTTTCATGTGCTCTGCAGTGATCAGACAAGGGGTTATATTTCACAGGGCCCCCTGTAATAAGGGACTTTGATGCACTGCAGTGCCTTTTTCCATTCAATGCTCCATTGCCTAAGTGTTATTTTAAGTGGGCCAAATTGTCATTCAGTGAGGTGTAGGTAGAAAAAGGGGTTGACCCAGTTGACAGCGACAGATAATAACGAGGAATGAAAGCCGTTCTATCTACCCTGGACACAACACAAATCAGAAACACCTCCTATGGCACTGAAACCATTGCTAAGAAGCCCGTCCTGCGCGTCAGAAAATGCCATCGTTCCACTTAGTTCCTTCCGAGTTACTTCAGCTTCAGTAACTTCCCAAACAAACGTGAATTAGGGAACACTTAATTGCCCATGTCTAACTTCACGCACTGCGCTGGGACGGAGGCAGGAAAAATCACTATTCAGGATGCATCATGCAATCGGATTCCATCGAAAGGATGTTATCTCCCTGTTCCTTACTGTTGTCTTTTTTACTCTTCCCCAGGCCATTTGGCTTCTCTTGCTCCCTGCTGGAAGAGCCTTCTTTCTGGTCCTGCTGCCAAAGGGCATGCATGTCTGAGGCGACTAGGAGCTCCAGGCCATTGAAAGCCTCAGCCTGTGCTTCCTATGCAATCAAGAGCCCCATGCTAGACAGACAAAGCACTAAAGTTACTGAGTGATCATGCTGCCTTCCTTAGTACTCTGTAGTCCACCCTTTTCCTCATCCTTCCTGCCCAGGTGTTTTGTTTTTCTCCTGTTCTCCTGCACTCTTGTACAGTGCTTTAGTAAGACCCCAGGCAGGAGATACTTTCCTGTGGGCTCTCCTTTTAATGGTATTTCTGCTTCTGGCACAACAGCTGAATTTACTGTCCCTGCATCATTGTACTCACCCAGATGGCTAGGTCATGTTGGGTGGGACGGTCAGTCACAGGAGCTGATGGAGCCACGTGCCTTTCTGAAGGACCTGGGTCACTGTTTGCCCCTGCAGTGTCTTACGCTGGCAACTGCCAGGGCATGGAGAGTGTGGGCTCTTTGGAGAATGACTCTTGTGAGTACATATTACTGTCTTTTCTCAGGTACATGATCATGAGGGAGTGCTGGCATGCAGTCCCATCTCAAAGGCCAACCTTTAAGCAGCTTGTTGAAGACCTGGACCGGGTCCTCACTGTAACATCAACTGATGTAAGTGTCTACCACAGTCTATAGATTAATCCATGATAGCGATGACCTGAACCCAAGCCCTGCAGCTGACTACACCTGAATGCTGGGACTGGTTTGCAGTTCAGCCCTAGATCTAAAATTCAGAGATGGTCTTTATCGTAATAGTGGGTGAACCCAGATCCAGACACCCTCCAACTTTGGGGGAAGAAGTTTGACTGCGTGTCCAGTATTCACAGGTCTCAGTAATAGCAGTAATGGGAAAGTACTGTGGTTTCATTGCTGTCTTTATCTCCAAGTGATTTTTTTTATTCCTCCTTCCTTGCCTCATAGGAGTACCTTGACCTATCAGTGCCATTTGAGCAGTATTCTCCTGCCTGCCAGGACACACACAGCACCTGCTCCTCGGGAGATGACTCCGTATTTGCACATGACCTTCTGCCAGATGAGCCATGTCTTCCCAAACACCAGCAGTGTAATGGTGTCATCAGGACATGATGACTCAACACACACACAGACAACAAAAAAAAAACTCACGAATGTAGACTTGGGGGAGGCCGAGGACAACGGTAGTGAAGGATCTTTGAAAGAAACTGCTTGATAATTCAAGACGATTTTTGTTGTTGTTGAGCCGTAGAGGGTTGTTTTTTCTTTGTTGGGTTTTTTTTCCCCATTTGCTGTATAAGAAGTCAAGAAGCACTGTTTGGCCTGAAGGAACTAATCTCTTGCCAAGATTATATCTTTTTTTTTTTCCGAAAACAGAATGTTAAGTCTATGGGGTGCCGACCTCTTGACCTTCAGTAATGTATTATTGAGTGCCAGAGTTACCGTTCTGTGCCTGCAATACAAAGAAGAAGAAAAAATCTTCCTTTAAAAAAAAAAAAAAAAAAATGTAAAGAATGTAGAAATTCTTTGCTTATGCAATCTGTACATGAACCTTTTTGGTGGAGCTGAAAAGCCACATTGCCTGCAGGGATTCATATATTTATATAAATATCTATATTTTTGTTGTTGTTGTTGTTGTTGATATGGACTTCATGTAGATTTACCCAACTACTTGGAAGGAATCCTTTTCTTTTCTTTTTTTTCTTTCTTTTTTTTTTTCTTTTTTGAAAAAGAAATATCTAAATAAAATAGTTGTGTCATCTTAGAGTTAATGGCAGTGGCTTAGCCATATAGGTCATACCATGCTTGCACTAGAGCTGGGAGTGACTGGTATATACAGAAGAGCAAGTACATTCCAAACAGAAGGGCCAATGAATGGAGGTGATGTTAAACTGTTCATTTTTATGTGTATGGGGAGGAAAGTGTCAAGGCTGCTGGTATAAAGGTACCGCCTTTCTCCAGGAAATTGCTAAATCATATCAGGCACAGACTTATGTCTCTGGTTGTGTAACTTCTTGCCTATTGGGGAATCATGGCCCCATGATTTTCTGCAGGGCCATATCTGAATTCAGTGGTTTGCCCATGTTTCTGAAGCTAAGGATTTGGGTACAATTTACTTTCATGAAATGGATTTGGATTTTTTTTTTGCCTTTAAAGGGTAAGTTCTAGTGAAGCATATATATATGTTCAGTAGCTCTCCCCTTTAAAGTGAGCAAGTTGCCTTCGTCTATCTGCAGTGATTTGGAGAGAGTAATTACGGGTACCTGTAGGCAAGAGCCTTTAACTTATATCAAAAAGGTTTATTCCAGAGAATTGTGTACATATCTATAAATATATACTGTATATATATATATAAAAGATTGTATAATACTAATGCAACAAATCAGTACTGAGAGGGAAATCTCTCAAAAGAAGAGCATTGCAATCTAGGATATACTGATCTGGGCAAAAGAAAAGTTTTTGTTTTATATCTTCACAGTTTTGTTTTAAAAATTGTACCTTAACATGTATATTTGTAAAGTTATTTATAGACATTAACATATCTGTTCATTGGTTTAAATAGCATAGTATTACTGTAAACTTAAAATTTCACTGAGTTTAAGTAAGTTTTTAACTTATTAAAATGGAGAAAAAATATATTAATCAAGTTTTTCTTTTGTGTTTATGGGAAATATTGAAAAAATGTATAGATGTACAGTCCTTTAACAAATTACATTTAATGTTTTTTATATATATATATACATACATACATATGTATATGTATTCATTTTTTTTAAATATTAGTTTATCCTGGATTGCAGTGAGCAAAGGTAAGTTTATTTTTCAATACATCATCAGTGGTTAAATCCAAACAAATAGGAGCAGAGAGGTGATCTTTACTTATTTGAAAAAAAAAATAGGGCCAAGAATTCTCCCATCAATTTAACCACTGTTCATTAAGGGGGCGTGGGTGTTTATTTTTCTATTTTCGAATGAAGGTATTCTTTGTGGTTGACTTAATAACAAGTATGCAGCAAAGCTAAATGTTGACTTTGGATGATGCACGTTTTTTTTTTCTTCATTTGCTGGTACCTTTCCATTTTGGGGTCTAAGAAATTACATGTGGGCAAAATAGCAAGAGGAGCAACATTCTGTCAAGGGGAGCTGAAATGACTGCATTTTTCTCTTGCATCTAATATATGTTTGAACAATGCCAATAATATCTAATTTGCTACATTGAAAACTGTAGGCGACTTATGTCCGTGTGCCAAAAAAACTGCTTCAGAGCACAGAAGCAGGGGGAAATATAGTTTGGAGCTAGCAGGCAATGGCAGATATTTTTATGAGAACATTTTACCTGCTACCATGAAGAGGCAATATAGTAATTGCACCCTGATTTTTTTTTTTTTTTTTTTTTTCCTGGACATACTACATATCAATGATTTAAAATGACAGGGTGGCCGCATTTCACGTTAGCATTTTTTTTTCTTGGAGCCACAAAGTTTTGGTCATAAAAGAAATAATTTATAGTTTGAGGTTACTTCAATGGAAGTTTGAGGTAGATTTCTATAGGTTTTGGTTTTTGAGATTTTAAAGAGAAAAAAAATTTGGGTATTTTCTTACAGAGGTTTGCTAATTGCGTACATTCCCAGTACCTGAAGCATTGGTTTTCCAGTAGTGAAAAAAGTACAAAACTGTGCATGATTTCAAATGTTATTAGATATTATAAATATATATAATTTATTGAGTTTTTACAAGATGTATCTGTTGTAGACTTGTTGACTTTTTAACATTTCTTATTCAATGCTTATATAGTTTTATAGCCTGGACTGTTATCTTTAAAAGCTAAAAAAAAAAAAAAAAAAAAAAAAAAAAATAACATTTCCAACTTTGTTACATTTTATACTGTTGATGTTACAATCCACAGATTTGCATAGCGTAATTTTTTTAATGAGCAACTCTGTTCAGTTTATTTTAATACTGTATTTCTTTGCCTGGCAGCAGCAGGTGTGAAAGGTGTGAAATGAACACTAAATAAACCTATTCTGCTTTTGTTAACACGGCGACTTACTTTTACCAAAACAATAAAAAGAAATGACTCGTTGAGTTTGTTTTCCCGCTGTTTAGGGTTCTTTAAAACAGAGCTCCTGTTTTTTCAGCATCTGTCATGATGCAGTAAAGATACACTGGCAGGACTACCCTATATTTTTAAGCCTGGCCAGCCCATCAGTTTTCTACTGATAAAAACATTTTAACCAATGTTATACCATTATAAACCCTGTTGTGGGCATAGTTATACTGGTATAAAGGTACCTTATATTAATCTAGCTTATTCCCTTCCTGTAAAGGATTCATCTGTATCAATATAAACACCCTCAAACTGGTCAGCTTGAACCCAGCAGGAGTTTTTCCACTGACTTCAGCCGGGCAAGGATATCACTTGGTGTGCAGTAACTCAGCACCACTGAGTGCAGCAGAGCACAGCACTGCAGGGTGTTTTTCCATGAGAGTCAGTGTCCCCCAAGGCCTTGGCATTAAAGAGTATTTGAATGCGTTCCTCTTACTTTGAGACTAGTTGTGCTTTCCTCGTTGAGAGAGAAATTGCACTGAGTGATTGGGAGTTTGCCTTGATAAGCATGGGCCGGGTAAGTTTAATGACAAAGCACATAGGCCCTGCAAGCAGCTGCTGCTGTTGCTTCTCAGTCGAAAGCTGCTATCTCAGTCCCCAGGGACTTCCCTGATTATCCAGGGCACTCAGAACCGTGCAGCACTGGCCTGAGAAGGGTCAATGATGCTGTCGCTCAAGCAGGTGAGAGGAAAATGTATCCAGGCGGTTGGGTTGTTACACCTTTGCATTACATTTCCTGGGGAGAGTCAGAGGCGACAACTTGTAATGGAAATGCTGGTGGGACTTTAACTGTAATTTCACAATCCTACAACATCTGTGATGTCTGTGTATAAAGAGACTCAGCCCCGGTCCAGAAGAAGTATTCAGATCTATTCAGCCACACGTTCATCCCCTCCGAGTCATCCCGTGAAACTTCGTTCACCAGCCAAGTCCTCACGAGTTAAAACAGGCTCTTGTAACACAAGTTAAAATAGCGCCTGTAACACCTTGTGGAGACACAGCAGTTGTAGCCGGAACAAGTGAGCTGGGTGTTGAGACCACTGTCTTGTTTTTCCTATTGCTTGTAAGGCTGCAGTATAGAAAGTTAAGCCTCACTCTGCTTGTGTGATGAATGTTATTAGTTAGCTGCACGTGAGAGGAAAAGTGGGGAAAAGTGAAATATGATTTCTTGGCGTTTAGATTTTTTTCCTTTACATACTAGAGGAAAACACATTTTTGGCATCAAAGCTGAAGCATACAGAAAGACTGAAAGAAGAGACAAAGAGCCGGATAGGGAAAGTGCTTACATTTGTGCACTGGGGCCACGTTCTGATTCGTATGGATTCCCGTCTCTTATTCGGAAAGCATCTCCGCTGACTCCAATAGGACCCTCTTGGAGGAAGATAGAGCTGTACACACAAGAGGACTGTGCTCTCAGGCAGGTCTGCGTTCAGGTACAACCACTGTTCATTGTTCTGAGGCCAAATCACTTGCTGAGTGTAGTGTGGGGAGTCATTCTGCATGTCTGCCCCTGGAGATGAACGGCACTGGTGTTTCCTTTTGTGTGCTGGTTTGAGGTATGAGAGACAGCAACACCTGCAGGTTTGATACCTTTGCCTAAAGGATACCAAGACTATACATGCTGTGTGTGTGTGTGTGTGTGTGTGTGTGTGTGTGAGATAAAGTATTAACTAACAGCTTTTAAATGGATATCCTAAAACTTCTGGGTGCATTCCAGTCAGGGCACGCTGTGCTATTCTGGACTACCTTTTTATTGTTAGATCCATTAGGATTAGAAAGAATCTCTTGAATCAACTAGTCCAGCCTGTGGAAAAGTTCCTGTAGCTTCTCTGTCACATCTTGCCTTGACTATAAGCCAAGGTGGAGCTGCCATGAGCTCCCTGACATACTATCTCCTTGCCCAGCTGCCTGCTGCCAGTTTGAATCCTACCCCAGGCTAGGAGAGACTAAAAGTGCTTACCATCTGCTGGCTGCTTAGAGACCACTTCGAAATAAGTGGGTGGTCCGAACCCAGTTTCTGGCAGACAGCTGTCTGCCTCACAAAGAGCCAGGATCACAGTTGGCACTCCTTTTGCCAACCCCTGATGAGCAGTCATTGCAGAGAGGCTGAGGATTAACACAGATGTGGGTCATGAATCTCCTCTCACTTCCATTGGTTTTACATAATTGCTTTCCACAACATTACTCCAGAGTGACTCAGAGGTATGAGACCTCAATCTGTCCTTTCAGATGTAAATGTCTTCTCAGCTCTTGCGCAGTGTTTCATAGATTCATAGATTGTAGAGTCGGAAGGGACCACAATGGATCATCATGTCCGACACTCTGCCCCTGGTGTTGGAAATACTCATTGTGCTATGGCCTGTGTCCTACTCTATAGCTAACCATCTCATTCGAGGGCTGTCATGTGAGAACCTTTCATGAATTTAAATTCCCTTCATCTCCTTTTCCAAAAGGGAAAGCGAGAAGTGTGGGGCAAAAGAAGCTGAAAATGTTGGTCTGCTACACAATGTTCAATAGGTAGCTCCAGTGGAAAGTCTGGTCTGTAGGACTAGCACTAACCCTACCATTTACTAACACAACCATTCCTCCAAGCACATAGAGAACTCATGTGAAACCAACTCACGGTGAGTGTGTCTACACATGCAATCAATGCACAGCAATAAACTCCGGTGCATATTGCACCGGAGTTCATTGCTCCAGGGTGCAGCATTTGAATGAGCACCCGGGACCACAGCACACTGATCCTGGTTGGAGCTGCCCCAGCTGGCAGGGGCCTTGTGGGATCAGCCTACCAGTCCAGGGCTGCTCCAGCCCCACTCAATGTGCTGTGTAGGGGCTGGCTGGGACACGAGGATGCTCCAGTGCGGGGCTAGCTAGTAGGCAGCCCCTGCCCTGAAGCACCCTCGTGCCCCAGCCAGCCCCATCCGTGTATACACATGCATTGCTGCAGAGGAAAAAGCTCTGCTGTCAGCTAGTACTTGTGCTTACAAGCACTAACCTGCAGCAGAGTGAATTAGTTTACTCCATCCTAATAGCACTACACGTGTACATGCTGAAATGTTTACCATGGAGCTAATTGGGAAACTGCAGTAAATGCCTTGTGTAGAAGTGCCCAGTGAGTCAAATCTCTGTCCACAGATGCCAACTCGAGCCTCCAGATAGTGTTATGTTTGCTTTCCCTCTTGGATTTCATGACGTCATTTTTCCTTTTGTGCCCTTCATTAGCAGTAGTAAAACATTTACTTATAGGTTTGTCTTTTTTTTTTTTTTAAATCACTTTCATTGCCCCACAAAGCCAATTCTGGGAGTAGTGTGACTATTTCTCTTTGCCTGCAGCGCATAATATACATTTAGAAAGCAAAACGTTGTCAAGAAACATTTGCAATGCTGGCCAGACATGATTGAACATGTGCCATACAAACCCCTGAGCTCTCCGAAATTGTGAATCTTCCTCTTCACTGTTTACAGCTTTCCACCTAAATGTTATTTCCTTTCCACAGCAAGAGGGTATTTTCTTAACAGAATGGACGTTTTTGTACACAGCTAGCCAAGCCAGTACAGACTGGCATTGGCCGCTACTGCTGGTTTCATAACAACTTTCAGACAATTCAACATTTACTGTAACACTTTTTGCCTTCTCTTCAGTTATAGCTCCATGAAAAGCCAAGGTGGATTTGGAAAGGGGACAGGCAAGCCACAGTGTTGCAAGTGCAAGCAATAAAGCAAGGCAGGTACAATTGAAAAGCCAAAGCTTCCCACTGCTCAGTGCCATTTGAAGTCCAGGAAGGACTGTCATGCACCTTTAGCTATAGGCTGGGTGGGTTAGTCTGTGTGCACGCAACCACGGGAATTGAAAGAGGCATGGGTCTAGTAACATGAGCCCAGCATAGGAAGCCAGAAACCTAGAGTTGAATGCTGACCCTGCCATCTCCTCAGTGATAAGAAAGGGGAAAGTGGGGAAGAAAGACCACAGAAGTTCTGTCGAGTCGATGGAGGAAGGTACAGCAAGTAAGGGTCAGCTGTAACCTGCAGCTACAGCTGCTGTAGGGCTACAGCTGTGTGACAATGCCAATGAGACGAGTCACTGGTGTTCTCAGTATGCCTTGCTGCAGTAAGATGCCATCATACCTTGAGAAAAGTAGTATGCAAGCAGGGAGTCTCCAAGAAAGACATGGTTCTTCTGTATTGTGCGTATCCCCAGAATACAGCCTTCTCCCACTCAGTCTGCTAGTCCCTTGGCTCGTGTTATTCAACCGCTCTGTCTCACATTTCCCTCTTTGTAAAAGACATAGGGATACTACCCGCATGGTTTGTACAGTGCCTCGAGTATACATTGTGCCTTACACAGAGGAATCATCATTCCCTAAAGAGATGATCATAGAAAATTAGGGTTGGAAGGGACATCTAGTCTAACCCCCTGGTCAAAGCAGGACCATCCCAAACTATATCATCGCAGCTAAGTCTTTGTCTAGCTGGGCCTTGAAAACCTTCAGTGATGGAGACTCCACAACCTCTCTGGACAACTTGTTCCAGATACTACCCTCCTACTGAAAAAGTTCTTCCTAATATTTAATATAAACTTCCCTTGCTGCAACTTGAGAACATTGCTCCTTGTTCTGTCTACGATCCTTTAAGTCAGGCCAGACAAAGATGGCAGCTGGTGCTAACAATCCATAAAGGCACCGTGGCTCTTGGGTCTGCCCTGGGAACACTGGTGTTGCTACACCCCACACCTCCAGGGCTGGCCAGCTCTGCTGACTGCTGCAAAGTGGGGTGGCTATATGACCATACCTCCACCCGTGTTCCCATCAGGGTGGTTAGCAGAGTCGGTATTCCACCGCGCAACTGCAGTAGAGAGATAGAGACCAGCTCCAGAGAGCCCCACGCACCAGAAGCAGTGTGAGGGAAGGAGAGACAGTGTTTAAATTTGCAAATCTGGAAATGAAAAACAGACATACAAGGCACTTTCTAGGGTAGCACCTGGTTTAGGATAGCACCCAGCCCCTCTCTTCAATACACAATCAATACACAGCCTCATGAAGCAATGAAGCAAAGTCTTTTGAACGTGGCCAGCACTGTATACCAGGCTACTTGGTAAAGTACAAATGGCAAGCGGACAAGTGGCACTGCATTCACAGGTAAGAGCAGCTCATTTGAATTCATACAACTGACAATACCACCCAGCTCCAAAGCCAGCTTTTAGACCACGGTTACTACCCATTTGCCGACTAAAGCCTTAGCAAGTGCGTGTGTACGCACATGCAAACACACACATGCACACTGATAGCTTATCGACAGTGGTGGTGACCTCAGAATATTTTGCCCTGGAAGACGTATTGACAAGTTGTACAGATGTAGACCCCAAAAACCTCATCTCCTCAAATGCCACCCTAGACCGTCAACACTTCTAATCC